GCTCTTATCATGTTTTGGCAGGGAAAGAGACATCTACAGAAGCGTCTGTCCTGAACGCCTCCTGTTGAGAATATCTTCTCCCCCCTGTTTCCCTGTACGTTCCTTTGTCCCTCTCTCTCGTGATCTGTCTTGATAGCCACATTTAGCTTTGTCTTTGTACAGTCTGACCCTGAATGCTGAACTTGAAATGGAGCCTATGTGATTGAAGCCATTTCCTGGAACTTGTATTATTAGCTGCTTTAAATAGGTTTGAACTTGCTGTGTTGAAATTGAATTATTTAATATCCTTTTATTTATGTATAAAAAAAAACTGAACACCCTAGCAATAGCCTAGAATCGTGGTTCCAAATATTAAACCCATTTTCTTAATAAAATGTCAAACAACAAAGTTAGGATGGGCTTGTTTGACTAAAGCTACTAAGTAGCCACCTAGCAACCCCTCTGAACACCCTAGCAATAGCCTAGAATCGTGGTTCCAAATATTAAACCCATTTTCTTAATAAAATGTCAAACAACAAAGTTAGGATGGGCTTGTTTGACTAAAGCTACTAAGTAGCCACCTAGCAACCCCTCTGAACACCCTAGCAATAGCCTAGAATCGTGGTTCCAAATATTAAACCCATTTTCTTAATAAAATGTCAAACAACAAAGTTAGGATGGGCTTGTTTGACTAAAGCTACTAAGTAGCCACCTAGCAACCCCTCTGAACACCCTAGCAATAGCCTAGAATCGTGGTTCCAAATATTAAACCCATTTTCTTAATAAAATGTCAAACAACAAAGTTAGGATGGGCTTGTTTGACTAAAGCTACTAAGTAGCCACCTAGCAACCCCTCTGAACACCCTAGCAATAGCCTAGAATCGTGGTTCCAAATATTAAACCCATTTTCTTAATAAAATGTCAAACAACAAAGTTAGGATGGGCTTGTTTGACTAAAGCTACTAAGTAGCCACCTAGCAACCCCTCTGAACACCCTAGCAATAGCCTAGAATCGTGGTTCCAAATATTAAACCCATTTTCTTAATAAAATGTCAAACAACAAAGTTAGGATGGGCTTGTTTGACTAAAGCTACTAAGTAGCCACCTAGCAACCCCTCTGAACACCCTAGCAATAGCCTAGAATCGTGGTTCCAAATATTAAACCCATTTTCTTAATAAAATGTCAAACAACAAAGTTAGGATGGGCTTGTTTGACTAAAGCTACTAAGTAGCCACCTAGCAACCCCTCTGAACACCCTAGCAATAGCCTAGAATCGTGGTTCCAAATATTAAACCCATTTTCTTAATAAAATGTCAAACAACAAAGTTAGGATGGGCTTGTTTGACTAAAGCTAGTAAGTAGCCACCTAGCAACCCCTCTGAACACCCTAGCAATCACTTAGCAGTACTCTAGAATTGCGGGTCTGAATATTACATACATTTTCTTAATAAAATGTTAAAAATGTAGTTAGGATGGGTTTGCTTGACTGAAGCGAGTAAGTAGCCACCTAGCAACCACTCAGAAAACCCTAGCAACATCATAGCAACCAATCAGAACACCCTAAGAATCATCTTGCAATCATCCAGTACAGCCTAGCTATCAGCTAGCAATGTACTAGCATTGTAGTTGCGAATATTACACACACTTTCGAAACAAAATGTAAAAATCTAGTTACTATTGTTTTTCAGGAGAATTTTCTATCAGTTTGTGACTTAAACAGTTCCCTTTCAGATGTGAAAAACAAGTTGATTTTGCAGGTATAGTAGAGCAAATCTTTCTTCATTGTCTGCTGGGTATTTCCAGAGCGCATGGTTAAATATTGCCTAATACTAGCTGGACTAGTTGCTCGCATGTGATTAAATAGGCACACTTGATTTCAGCACAGCACCCAATATTAGTCAGAGAAGAAGGTCAAGTAAGAACATTAGTTTGTTTAACAAGTTTATTTTTGCTAAGTTAGCTTTTATGATGCCACAGTAAGTTATGCTCACTTCTGAATCACTCATTCTTTTACTAATAGAAGTTTTGCTTGTTTTTAAACAAATATGATTTTGTAGGATTGTAGATTCATGTCCATGTTGCTAAACTGTTTTTTTAGCCTAAACCCAAGATGAGAAGGTCGTCCCTCCCCTCCTCCATTGTCACCACTGTTTTATCGATCTCTGAGGGATTGTTTGTCGAATTGATCATGTCGTGTTGCGAGTCCTTTCACTCCCTGACCTTCTTTTAGTCCAATGTTTACTCGGTTTTTGTGCTGTCATCGGTAAGCTTTCAGAATTATGAGTGGGGGAGGAGAGCTAGAGGTCGGTCTCCAGCGGGATCAGCCCACAACCTTCCAGAATGTTCTTCTTCTGCAAATGCCTCTAACATCTCCATCAAGTCACATTTTTCTCTCTTTTTTTTTCTACCACTGGCTGGTTTCCCAGTGGACTGGAAGGAAAGACAAGACAGACACATGGTTCTCCAATCTTTGCTCAGTTTCTCCGTGGAGTTCCTCTGTTCTTTTGTCAGTCTTGATTTTTTTCCGATTCATGTCTAATATAAATCACCCCAGTCAATGGCTCATTATATCAGAGATATAACATTATTTGTCTCCCACTACATCTGAAAACATCCAGTGCTCTTTTGAACTATTTGGAACATGCCAAAAGTTCTGCAGTTCTTCAAAGATGAGAGACTGTGTACGGTTTAGCTTTTTGTCTGTCATTATAGGAGAAAAGTCCTCTCGGCTGACCTCAAATTGCACAAGGGAACTGCCACACACCCCACACGCCATTTTTTCCCCTAGTGGTCTCACATTCTGACTGCTGGGCTGCAGTGTGGGAGGATGTCTGATTGATCTTCAGCTTGCTGAGAGACCTTCTATGGAAGTTTATCTTCAATTCCCTTAGGAAAAATAAAAATAGGCACAAATGAGACAATTGTTGGCATAAAGTACGTGGATATCGTAGCTCAGATAATATGTTGGTAATAGATTTGCCAATATACCAAAGTGATTTTAGTATGATCTCAGTAAAGTTTGAGACATCATATATACTTTGATTTTAAATTAGTATATTCATATATCATAGAGTTTAAATGGTACTTCAAAGAATACCATAGTATTGTCATACCCTAAGGGGTTAGTTTGACCTAATTTGAAAGTTAAAAATGACTTTCTGATATGAATATTATTTAGTTGAATAATAATTGGGTTCAGTAAGTTTTTTTTTTTGAAAGAAATTAATACTTTTATTTAGCAAGGATGCATTAAATTGACCAAAACTGACAGAAAAGACATTTTTTATGTTGAAATAAAGAAATCTGTTTAAAAAAAATGCTGTTCTTTTGAACTTTCTGTAGATCAATCAACACTGATGCTAACAATAAATGTTTCTTGAGCAGCAAATCAGCATTTATAATGATTTCTGAAGGATTGTGTGACACTGAAGACTGCAGTACTGACTGCTGAAAATTCAGCTTTGCCAATGCCGTCATAGGAATAAATTAAATTTTAAATATTATTAACTAAGAAAACAGTTATTTTAAATTCTACTAATATTTCACAGTATTGCTGTTTTACTGATTACTCAAATAATGCAGCCTTGGTGTGCATAAGTAACTCCTTAAAAAAAAATCATACCGACCCTAAACTTTTGAACGGTAGTGTAAATGAAGCACATATAAATGTTACCTGACAAAACATTTTTACAGAGTCCAAAACATGACCAAAAAACAGCAAATGCTAATGTTTCCCTCCACTCCTAAGGACAAGCAGATATGGCAATTAACAGACTGAAACATAAGCTAAACACTAAGAGGACACTAAGTAGATGTCTGTGTGAAAACTCGTTAGGACTGTGTTTGTTAATAAGGTTTGAGATAGCAGGCAGAAGGCCATGAGGAAAGCTCTTATCATGTTTTGGCAGGGAAAGAGACATCTACAGAAGCGTCTGTCCTGAACGCCTCCTGTTGAGAATATCTTCTCCCCCCTGTTTCCCTGTACGTTCCTTTGTCCCTCTCTCTCGTGATCTGTCTTGATAGCCACATTTAGCTTTGTCTTTGTACAGTCTGACCCTGAATGCTGAACTTGAAATGGAGCCTATGTGATTGAAGCCATTTCCTGGAACTTGTATTATTAGCTGCTTTAAATAGGTTTGAACTTGCTGTGTTGAAATTGAATTATTTAATATCCTTTTATTTATGTATAAAAAAAAAGTAAATTATTTTTGAAGGGTTTCACTTGATGCTGAAGTAATAGTTAGCACTCATGAAGAAGAAAACAGACTTAGAGAGCCTGTATTAATGAGAAATTTGTTAAGGCATATTTGACTTTTACTACTCATACTTGATGCCTCAAATCAGTGTACTATTACCTTTATAAGATTTACTTCATTGCCTACTGGCCAATAAACAGACTAAACATCCATTGAAGGAACAAATGAAGCCATCTCACATTTTGTTCAGGCATTTTGTAAAGTTCTGCTGTTAGTCATAGCTATCTGTTCTGAGCACATTATTCAATGTCAGCTGGTCAGCGGTGCTATTTACAGTCAGAAAAGTCCTGAGAAAGAGCGAAACAGCCTGAATTGATTCACACTGTAACTCTTTGTGGGAATTTAATGCTCTGTTGTTGGCACAGTCGCATGTCGGTGTTGCATCACAGGCTTTGAATGCCATTCTATTCCCAAAGGAGAAATCCAAACAAAGCCAGAAAAAGAGTTTTTATAGGCAATCCGATTTAATTAGGCTGCATTTGATGATTTTACATGAGCTCTAATGCAACTTTGAAAAGTCAAACAGGCCTTTTAAATGTTTCAAACTGTTGTTTTGATGTGTTTTGAAGTCAAACACGTTCTGTGTGAGGATCAGCAAAGTGTATATTGACATTACAATATTTGAGATTACAGAGATCACATTACAGAAGAATCTAAAGGAAGACTGTCCAGGACACATTACTATGAACCTGCAGAGCCGGTTTGACTCATAAATGACTGATGCGTGTTGGCTGACTCACTCATTGGGTTATTTCTTCTCACAGATCGCACAGAAATATGACCAACAGAAGGAGGACGAGCTTCGTTTCTGGATCGAGGAGGTGACTGGCATGCCGATCGGAGACAGCTTTCAGAAAGGGCTCAAGGATGGCGTCATACTGTGCGAGTAAGTTGGTAAACATAAACATACAACTTGGCCATGTGGGTTTTAACCAGCCTGAGCTAGTTTGCTGGCCTTAGATTTTCTCCCAGGCTGGTCTGTTGGTCGGTTTTAGAGTGGGTTTGGGCACATTTCAGCTGGTCAGACTGGGAGACCACTTGACTGAACAGCTAAACACCAGCTGTGCCAGGCTAGGAGACTATTCATGGCACTATTAAAACATTGCTTGTTTGAGCATACTGGCTGGATATAATGACACTCAACCAATGGCATACATTTAGACCGGGACTATCTGTATAGGTGACCAGTGGCAGTAAACCTCAATGAAAACAATCATTATTTTTGCAATTCCATTTGGAGATGCTAGTAAAACCGAAATTACATACTTCACCTTTACTGTGTCCATAGAACATGCTTATATTTGTGATGCTAACAAAACAGAATTGAAATCACTCCCTGTTTTTATTCTTTTCAGATTGATAAACAAGCTTCAGCCTGGATCAATAAAAAAAATAAACCATTCACAGTTAAACTGGCATAAGGTAAATATCTCAGAGGCTCCTAAGGGCATTGTTTTCATCCAGATCAGCTCCTTTGAGAAGTAATAAGGGGATTCCTTCCAAAGTGACTTATAATACAGCGTACCAATCACATTGGCAAATACTAGGACAGGCAGCTGAGAAAGATGCTTGAAGCAGAAGCTGCTAACAACTGCAGATGCCCCTTTAGCATTAAAAACTCTGAAGTATCAGAACTCTTTATATGCTGTAAGAATAAATGGACCCATTCATGCACTCTTTGAATCATCCACCAACAACTAACTCTTTTATCTGAAAATGAGGTAACCAATGATGTTACGGAGAAACACAGTAACACACCCTTACTGTTGCCATTGTTTTTTCAGCTAGAGAACATCGGGAATTTCATCAAAGCCATTCTAGCCTACGGGCTGAAGCCCAATGACATCTTTGAAGCCAATGATCTTTTCGAAAACGGGAACATGACGCAAGTCCAGACCACACTTCTTGCTTTGGGCGGTATGGTACGTCTGCGAGTCCTTCAATTCTGCTAAAGTCTTATGTTGAATATTCTGTAAAGGCCTAATTAAAAAAAAAAAAACTTTCCTTGAGTAAAATTATGACATTTGGTTGATAGGTTTAATAAAAAAAACAAAAAACAATTGAACATATTATTGACAGCTTAAATTTTGCAACTATAAAATGCTTCTTTCTTTTTTCAACAGGCAAAGACAAAAGGGATGGAAACGAACTTTGACATTGGTGTGAAATATGCAGACAAGCAGCAGAGACATTTTGATGAAGAGAAGATGAAGGCTGGCCAGTGTGTCATTGGACTTCAGGTTGTAGACTCTTTTCCTGGAACTTCATAAATGTTTCTACATGAATATTTTTATTTTTGGGACTTTTTCATACTTTAAGCAGACAGGACAGAAAGAATGAGAGAAACACGTGGGGTAGAGAGTTGGGAATGGGATTGGCAAAGGAGCGTGAGTCAGAACTCGAACTCAGGTCACCAGACATGCAGTTGCACTATATGCCAGTGCGCTAACCACAAGGCTATCAGCACTGACATGAATATTGTTTTTAAAGGAAGCCTGACCGTTGTGTTACCTAATTTGTTTTGTGATGGGGCAAAAAGGGAAGACACGTTACAAATTAGTCATTTAGCTTACGCTTTTATCCAAAGCAACTGTAATAACCTCAGGTTAGGCAGCTACTCAAGGCCACAATGGTGATCAAGGATCATTCACTGTTAGGTTTGAACCTACAACCATTGAGCAAGTCTAAATTTAAAACCAAACAGCTACTCAACCAATATCAGTGCAGACATGCTTCTGGGAATGGTTTCTAAAGATAAAGATTGATTGGAGGACCAGATTGATTGGAGAAAAGGGTTTTTGACCCACTTTTGAAGTGTTTCTGATTTTCGTTTCAGATGGGAACCAACAAATGTGCAAGCCAGGCTGGGATGACTGCCTACGGGACCAGGAGACACCTTTACGACCCCAAGACGCAGACAGAGAAACCCTATGACCAGACCACCATCAGCCTGCAAATGGGCACCAACAAAGGAGCCAGCCAGGTTCACCCAAACACAGACTATATCAACAATATATCACACAAAAATGATCAAACATGACACATTTACCATGTGTTTGTCTCTCTCCAGGCTGGCATGTCTGCCCCAGGCACCAGGAGGGACATATATGACCAGAAGGCAGCTCTGCAACCAATGGACAACTCCACCATTTCATTGCAAATGGGAACCAATAAGGTGGCCTCTCAGAAGGGCATGAGTGTGTACGGCTTGGGACGGCAAGTTTACGACCCCAAGTATTGCGCCACCCCAATGGAGCCAATAATCCATGCCAACGGCAGCCAAGGCACGGGGACGAATGGCTCAGAAATCAGTGATAGTGACTATCAGGCAGAATATCAAAAGGAAGAGTACCAGGGCGAATACCACGATGAGTACAAGGAGCATTACAATGACCAGGGCATCGACTAATAGAGAACGCTGCTGCGCTGTTAGTCAAAGCAGTATTAACACAATGTATATCAACAGAGCAAGTCTTTGCAATGCCTTTTGCTTCTCACAGTTTCCCCTTCCCTCCCAGCGCATGTGTTTGGGTAAACATTTGTGAGTGGTGATATGTCAATTCTGCCATCTTAACAATGGTGAAATTTTTTTTAATAAAGTGTTTTTTATGAAGTATGGAGAACTGTAAAGAGAATTTTCTAGTTTTGCAGTACAATTGTTCGTTTTACACCCAACGCCTTGTCTTTTGAGTTCATTTTGGCCTTGCATCTTGTGAGCGAATTGTTATCGCTACTTTTAAAGCTTGTTCGCCATTGAAATCCCGCTCTGCACCAACTGCTCTGCAGTTTGAAGACATTCCTTCCTAAGTCATACCTTTTGAAGTCATTCCATTTAGAATTCCAAATGGCTGGAAATGTTACAAGCTACAAATGTTAGCGTTTTAAAGATTAGCTGACTGGATGACCAACAACATTCCGGTATTGCTTAGTTTTTTTGTGCCATAATATCGGAAAATCTTTCCAATTGTATTTATTGCCCTGCTTTTCATTATAAATCCTATTTCATATGGTTCTTTTATGAATAAATTCTATGTTATAAATAAAGTATTGAATGTCTTCAACATATGTCTATTATTTTGACCATTATTGCCTTTAAATTTAAATATAGATGCTCGGTTATTTACAAATTCGAACTGATTTCGGTTTTATTAGGATTAAATAACACATTTTCTCCTTTTTCCCTTGGTCAGACTGGTTATTTGCTGTTGTCCTGCTGAGGTGTGGTTTCTGCAACGGCCCTGATTTTGTTATTTGGTTTTTTGCTCTTGTATCTTTTATGAGGGTGATTTGAAGTGGCACAGGGCCTCAGATGTGCGCTGACTCTGCCCAAGTATCACAGCACAGCCATAAATCTTGTGTTTTTGAGGTTACGCTCAGAAGCGTTTGGAAGCTGCTCCTTGTGTCGATAGCCCAGAGTTTCTGGAAACAGTTATATAACCACAAAAATCAGTGAAAAAGAATCTAAAGTAGAGCAAGTCAGTGTTCATGCACCAATGCATGGAACTACTGCATTTTGTGCATATGTATATGCTTGGGTTTTTAAATGAATTACTGAAAAGCACTTGTTTGTGTCCTGGGAATGAAAAAAACCTAAACCTTCAATTAAGTCAATGAAATGCTGCACTTGATGACTTTACAGTTCAGCCGGTGTCCATGGAGGGATTTGGAACGAGTTGCACACCACTGAACTGAATTATGCTTCCCCTGCCGTGACCTTTCTGCATTCGTATTGGCCGCGGTGTCAACCGAAACACAATGGAATGGTAAAAGTGTGATGGGGCTCGTGATGGAACATTCCAGACGTATTGGACCAGTTTAAGTTGGGTTGAGGCTGCGGACTTGAATTGAGAGCAGAAGAGCATTTATATGTGCAGCAAATAACATGTTAGAGTTGCATGTTGCATTCTGGGCCATTCTGAGACATGTAACGTAATGCCACATAGCAAAACATTATTCTGTTTCCATAGCGATTTGGGGCAATGGAAGGCCAATGATATGTAAGAATTCTCTTCAATGTGCAGTCACTGCAGTGGTTGCAGTCGTAAATGAAGAACTGAGAGTCTACTAATTTAAGTAACATGTTAGTGCTAAATCTGGGTGTCAGTGAACTCGGCTATTGTGTAAGTAAGTGGGTCCACATGAGGAGAGGACCACATAAAACTATATCCGTGCATACAGGACAGTGACATGAGAAAGCAATGGCATTCACTCAAGTGCCCCATGCCCCCATGCCCCTCCCGACTGTGTTACTCCGGGATAATCGGCGCTTTGTGCTGATTGCGGAATCCGGGACAAAAACACAAGACTCAATTAGAGAGAAGGTCAGAAAAAGACTGTTACCACAGCAACCACGGAAAGCCTTTAAAGGCAGACGGGAACTCTACCGGTGTTGTAGCCTATTGTATGCTGCGTCACGCTGCTAACTGTGCCACCCTGGTGCCAGTTGAGGGGCCCGGGGCCAAAACCATGTGCAGTCATCACTGTGCCAGAGCTTCAGAGAGGGTCATGAGGTAGTTAGTGGTGTTTGCTAAGGCAAGCATCACTATTATTACTGTTCATAGAAACCCGTAACACTAACTTCAGCATGGCATTCCTCCTGCACTGTTTGTGCTACGGACATAAATTATGCCTCAAATCATGCAGGATGTTGCCGAAAGGTGTGCTAATAGTTTTCTTCACTAGCAGGTGTTAAAATAAAAGTCAAAACAAAACAAAACAAGGATTTACACTGAAGGACAGACCCGAACCAACCAAAAGATGTGTCTGGAGTTCATTAGCAGATCAGCCCGGTTCCTCAGACTGAAACTCACTCCATCCGGCCTGGAATGAATGGAGGGTGGAAAGGATGAAGAACAAAGATATACTGATCCACAGACAAACACTTCGAGGAATTGTGACGGCTGATCACCGTGAATTCAGTCCTTGCTGTAGAGGTGAAAGATTGAGAAGTGGGCTTTAATGAGAACCATGGTTTATAGCTGCTCTCCCAGTTTAAATTTCACTGGATACAAGCTGAAACCATGTGTCCGTGACATCTGAGACTTCCTCACATGCCTGTGGATATTTTTTTTTAGCAGAACGCTCACATTCCCTGGCCTCTCAGTCTCTGAATTTCAGAACGAGGAGCTTAGTATTGATCAGGGTTGCCAGATTTTCACAGCAAAACCCACCCAATTGCTACTCAAAACTAGCCCAATAGCTTTTCAGGGGCGATCCCCCGGTAAAAATCTTGTAATATACACATTTTTTGGTGAGATTCCCCTGGTAAAAGTCTCATTTCATGGGGATAAATATCGCGTTATTGGGGTCGCTTCAACCCGCGAACATGAAAAACATCCCGCGGCAACAGTGTAAAACAGGGGTGCCCAAACTCGGTCCTGGAGGGCCGGTGTCCTGCAGAGTTTAGCTCCAACTTGCCTCAACACACCTGCCTTCAAGTTTCTAGTATGCCTAGTAAGAGCTTGATTAGCTGGTTCAGGTGTGTTTAATTGGGGTTGGAGCTAAACTCTTCAGGACACCGGCCCTCTAGGGCCGAGTTTGGGCACCCCTGTAAAAGTAGCCCAATTCCCGCGGTCTTGGCAACACTGGTATTGATACGTCTCCTTTCAAATCCAAAGCAGTGCCCTCTAGCCATCTCCATTTATCCCCCACATAGGCTACTCAACTCTGAAAGGGAGGGATCTTTTCTCGGCGGAGAGGAGGAAAACCGTGCTGTATGTTGAAATGCCAAAGATTATCTTTATTAATTAAAAGGAGTTTCTGTTATAGTACCTCCCTTTAATCTAAAATAGCTGGATTTGAATTGGGAATCATATGCTATCTTCATAAAGCCCAAAGTAACTTTTTGTGACCCAGGTAGACAAAGGCGCATTTTACAGCAAGGTGAGAGCGTTCCTGGTTTCTGGACTACCTGTAAAATATGCCACATATTTTATGAAAATACAGGCCACATTTCTCCAGCATGGTGTGAATCCTCTCGCATTTAGTCGGCTTATAAAAAAGAAGGTAAGGAAAAACCTGTTTTATAACCAATTAGTTAACTATATGTTCTATTTACAGGCGGAAAACAGCAACAGGCCTGAATTATAATCATCCCGGACTTCATCAGGGGCCACGCAGTGGAAACCACACATGGGAAATGTTTCCTATTTATAAAAGATTTTTAAATAAACATTTAATTTTAAATAAATATTTATAGAAGCTTATTTTCACCATGGCATAAAAGATAAAGCTAATTGCGCCTTTTTTATCCTTAGATTATATCAGTTAGCAGAATTAGCAGAAAAAAAGATATAAACTCACAATTCTGAGAAAAAAGTCAGAATTATGAGATATAAACCAGTAATTGCAAGAAAAAAGTCACAATTACAGTTATTTTTTTAGTCCATAGTAAAAACAAACTTGACTTTTTTCTTGCTATTTCGAGTTTATATCTAATAATTCTTCTTGAGACTGTGAATTTCACAATTCTGACCTTTTATTCTGAAGTTTATAAAAAAAATTTGAGATGTAAACTGTAACCTCAGAATTGTGAGAAAAAAAGGAAAATATTTTTTTGTTATTCAATTTTTTTCCCCAAATTCTGTGGTAAATAAACTTCCATAGATATTTAATGAAATATCTAGTCAAAATGAAATCTAAATTGCCTCTATTTATTCTCTAAACACACTTCCCTGGGTTACATTGTGTACAATTTGTTGGTGCATACTCTATTATATATATGCATCTAAGAATCATTTAAGAAGCATCTTTAATCGAAGGCCTAAATGATTCTTTAGTTGTCTAAATGGTTCTTCAGAGATTAAAAACATTTTTTTTTTTTTTAAATCAACATATTAGTTGCTGGGTTATTAAAAGTTCCAGCACATAGATGATTTTCTAAAGAACGGGACTGTAAAATTCCTTTGTAGAAATTAAAGTTATCTAACAACTGCAAAACCCTTTTTGGTTCTATTAAGAACCTTGAGAGTCTAGATGTATTGCACCGGTGGATGTCATCTGAAAGCAATGGAAGCGCATTTGCAGATGCATTAACTTTAGATTTACAATAACACAAGCATTAAAGGCCCCGGGGATTATGACATGCTCTCAATTTCTATAAAAGTGCTTCAAGATGAATCACCAACCAGTGAGGAATGTCCTCGCACGTCGAGCGCACATGTGAACAAAATCTGAGACAAAGTGGTAGAAAGGAAATCGGTGTTCCCTTTGGCAGTGAATCCACTGGAAGAAAAACAGGCCTTTACTGTACTTTTTTTTTTTTCCGGTGGCTGGCTGGCATCTCGCCACAAAGTCCAGTCTGTTGCATGAGCCATTTTGAATGGCTTTGTTAAAGAGGAATTCAGCCGAAGATCTCAGACCTCACTGGTCTAATTAATGCAAAGATTCTGGAACATTACATAACCTTGCTATGAATGCATAAACCACTGCTCTCTTTCTCTCACACATCAGTATTTTTTGTATTTTTTCGGACTGCTGGACTGAGGTTGAGTTATTTCAAACAGAGGGTTGTCTGTAACTTTGAGCCTGTTCTCCTTGAAGGGAGGAATGTTCCTCTGTTCAAACAATTACGTTTTTGCTTAGGTTGTCCTGAATGAACTGAAAAAGCTTTCATTAGTTTGTGGTTCTTGCTAAAGCGGCATTGTTAACAAGTACAAAAATATATATATACAATTTATTCGTAATTAATTTATAAAGTCATACTCACAACATTTAATCTTGTTTTAAATATCTAAATCCACTGGTGTCAGTCAATATGTCGACTGATATGTATATGATGACTGATTGATTTTTGTCCTGTGGCCCCATCGGATCTCCTCTGATTTGGCCATTTCAGCAATATTGGCATCATGATATGTGTGTTTTGCTGTAGCCTATGTGTAAAGTTGGTCAAATGATCTCTGTTGTCTTCTGCATGAATGGTGAGAAAAGGGTACAGACTGAGCCTATTTAATATATTATTTACATTATTTGTAATCAACAGACAGGCGTGCTTGCTAATATCTTCTACACTTGAGATTTATGGGAATGAGATGTGTTAACTTGGCCAACCAAGACTGGGGATGTAATTAGGAATGGTATTATTATTTGATTTTACGTAAAGTTTAGCATGTCAAAATATCTAGACCAGGGTTATTAGTTATCATAGTTAACTGACACTAAAACCAAAACCAAAAGAATAAAAACATTAAATATATATATACAGTATATATAAATAATTTTCAGATAGTTGCCATGGAAACATTTCTCATTTTCATTTTGCTTAACCTGATGTATAACTAAAACTGAAATAAAAATGAATATAAATTGTATATCACTAATAATATATTCTAATACTTCAACTTTATCCTAAATTGAAATGAAAATGGAAAATACTAAAAATATAAAATCAATATATATATTTAAAAACACCCATGATATCTCAGTGATATTAAAATAACACTGATCTAAACCCAACATAACTGAGCTGCTTTGGAACAACGTTTCGGAAAAAGCATTCTTTAAATTTCTTTCAATTAAATAAAAAAAAAACTTTGCAGTTTCTGTTACAATTCGTTTCATAATTATGTATTATAATTTTATCCACAATGATGTAACTGCTGGTGAAACATAAAATATTTCACCTGATTTATGCAACAGCACTATCCACTTCTAATGTTTTCCTCCTGAGGCCCCAAAATTGATTCCAGATAACTTGACACTCATGCATGTCTTCAGGCAGCTGGAGTTCAAGAAATTTCACATTGTACATTGGCAGGCAACACAGACTATTAATAAAAATTAATCTTAAAGCAGCTTTTACCCTCGTCAGGCCTGTTTCATTGTGCCTGTATGTCTTAGTTAAGTTAGCCCACTCTGTTTCCTCAGGAAGAGGCTTGGAGGATGGAATGATTCCGCATGGAGCCTGATGAAGTGGAGGGTGGAGTGTGACACAGATGGAGGAAAATCATGTCACTGTGGTGAAGGATTTGACATGCACAGCATTTGGCATTTGGCAAGTGAAGGAAACATAAACTAACTTTTGTTGGGTAACTAATGTTAAAATTAAAGGTACTGTATTAATCTGATTACTGTAATAATCTTACTGCAGACATCTCATTTGGGATGTGGAAAGTGAGAATGCTGTATCAAATCTCTGCTTGCATTCAGGTCCCTGTTCAAAATCGCAATCACATCACTAGAGATAAACTATGTAGACTGACTGCTCTCTGGTGGTGAGTAGGAGAAATTGCATTTTCATATTTTGTGAAAAATAATGCGTGGGTGTCGAGTTAAGTATAGCAATGTGTTGTGGCCTCTTGGCACCTGTACAGATGATGAATCATACTTTACCCTGGCCTTATACTGACAGGAAATTAGCATGCATGTTTGGAAAATTCTGCCAAGTGTGATGAAAGAGCTGTTCTAGTGCCCTAGTTTATCCACCACACACACGGGGTCAAAATTTGAATTTTTTTTTTTTTTTTTTTTTTTAAGCCACCAAAGTGACAAAGCCACACAAGTTTGATATATTATGGTTCTGAAAATAAATAGAATGTGCATTAAAAGAAACTTTAATTTCTGACACTGGCATAGATCAGTCATGGGAAACCCCTTTTACCTGTTATTCAGCATATTCATGAATGGGGGAAAAAATAGAAAATATATCCTAAAAATATCGGAATAATGAGAATGGTGATTAGAGGAGAGTACTGATGGATGGAGCTTCATTAAGTAGTTCTCCATGTGGTTGGGGTGCAGTGGTGTGTGGCTCTGACCTAGCTATTTTTAGCTCTGTGGGACAAAAATGGCTCAAAATATGAATCATCTAAATCTGTCCTCCTAACGGCACTTACAAAATAAAGAAATAAAAATTATCAAGTGGAATAGCCTATATGGGGGTAAATGTGGTAATCATTCAGTTTCAGTGATTGCTATGGTAATACTATCACTGTACCATGCTACACATTGTTTATAAATAAACAAAATCATGTTTTAATACTCTTATTAAAATGTCTAATTAGCTACATTTAGGAACGACACAAATCTATGAGAGCTTTTCACAAGTGTTGTGAACGAATCGGTTGTGTCTAAGAAATTTAGCTATTTTTAAAAAGTTTTTGGCAACTTTTTCAAAGTGACTCAAATGATAAAAAAGGCACATATTTTCATCTAAATTACACAAAAAGAGGAAACCATTGAACAGCTAGCCAGCCAAGCAGCACATCAACCTGGAGAAAGATGCCTAACAGTACAAACATCAAATGTGCATTAAGTTGCTAGTTCCAATTGGTCAATAATAAATGCACATTTATGATACAGCATGTTATTAGCTTAAATATATAATTGTTGTTCAGTTAGATACACTGTCAGAAAAAAATATGTGGAAAAATAAATACGTATTGTTCCTTCATATAAACAGTACATTGTGTCCTATTTTTACAGACTTTTGTGTAGCACACTAACTAACTACCAGTACACTGCTTAAAACTATAATTGTTCAGAATGTGCAGTTGTACTAGTTAATACTAAAATACCATTTGTAACTGTTCAATAATTCAATGTTGTAAAAAAAAAATCCGATCATAAAGATGTGCTACTTCTGTTACTTTTACAAATGAAAATATTTTATGTTTATAACATTTTTCTGAACAATAACATTTAAAAAATATATTTTTCGCTGAGATTTGAGTATAATCTCGTTGTGTATTTTACGTAAAAGCGCTTTTTAAATTTTTCTTTATTTATTTCTTTTTTATTAGACATTAAAGACATAACATGCAACATTTACAACTTTAACAAGACATCCAAAAAGATAACACAATTAAAGGAATGAGTTTACATTACAAAAAAAAGAAAAAAGACAGCATATACCCATAGTTGAAACAAAGTAACTTCATCTCTTTAGCGAATAAAATTGTATCTCTAAATTTTTTGTTATCAATACATTTGAGAGACTCAAAATACAAATGAAAATCAGTCATAAAGACCTTCAAACAGGGTTTAGAACTATTTCTTTTACTTTTATGAACATGACATTTACCAAATAAAATCATAAGATTCATCATAAAATTGACGGATGCATTTTTTGATTCAAAATATAAGATAACATCTTTGGATGTTAATTCACAATCATAACCAGATTTCTGTTGAATATATATATAGATAAATCTTCCCAGAATTTTTGGGATTCTACGTAAAAACGCTGTTTTGTGTCATGGTTATGCAATGACGTCACCACGCAATGACATCACAATGACATTTAGCAACTTTTAGCAACAAATGGATCTGCCTTTAGCAACTTCCCCTGAAAATTAGTTGGCAACACTGAAGGAGACTTCAGAGGACACCAAAGGAAACATCTCGTTCGTAAACGAACACAATCGTCACATTTTATGAATTATATAGGCCTAGTGTTTATATTATCACGTATATATCATAATTTACTCGAATGAACTAGAATCCCATTCAAGAAGAGAAATGAGATGAAGAATTATGAATGGGTACAAATGACACATCTTCAATGACATAAGAACTTATTGAAACTGTATTTATGTAGTTTCGTATCGTCGATTTAGCTCGATAAAACTCGGCAGCGCACAAATGGAGGAAAGTAGCTGTCCTTTGCACGGAAAACGCGATTATTTCCCGAACAACTGTTTTTTTGAACGAATCAGTAGAGAGAATGATTCAGTCACTCACTTTTTTGCCACCTGCTGGTGTAACGATAACCTGCAGAAACGGCCTCTGAATGAATCTTGTTAGTGAATGAATTCAAAAGACTCGACTCACTGATGAATCAAAAGAGCGACATTATCCGTGTGTGAATATCTCTTTAAGAATGAAGCTGAAATTGGATCATCTCGTTCCCTCACCTCCACGTAACGTACAGCCATCATCCACACACATCGATCGGTTCACATCCACACGCATCGCAGATTGAGATTATTATAAGGACCACCCGTTTCTCCGTTTGATATGAAATCATGCATTTCATATCGCCGTGGAGAGAGGAGAATCATGCATGTGTCTGATTGACGAAAAACACGGATTGTTATCAGCCCATGTTTTCAGACACCATGCACAACTAACCAACAGACACCGTTGATGATCGATAAGAGGTTAGCAGATGGTTAATGCATGTATTGCGTGATATCAAGCAATATTTGAATGCACAAGCGTTGTGTTTTCAGCCAGCACTGCGGTGTGATTTGGCCTAAAGAAAGCAGCAGGCTTGAGTCGATTTCCGTCCATCGCAATGTTTTTCAGAGCTTTAGTAGAGATGTGATTCAGTATTTATTTGTGTTATCAGACGGTCAGTGCTGAATTACGGGCTTTGATGTATTTTTGCCACGCGCACAAATCTTCATAAAATGCTCATCTAATCACAAATGTACATATATATGTGCATATGTTTCACAAGCAATGAGGTTCAATGCAGCACACCAGCCGATGATGATTAAATGACCAACTTTATTGACAAATGAAGGCTAAAAAGACATTTAAAAGCCTAAATCTGAGTTTAATATTTAATTATGCACTTGAAGATGTGTTTGAGTCGAGCTGAAGATGCATGGCAGTATTGAAGGGAAACATTTGTTCAGGTTTGCGACTAGAACACCATTCATTTTCTCTATTTAATGGGAATGCTAAATGCAGCACAGATGTTTTGGATGTATTTGGCATTTTTCATCAACAAATGTGTTTCTGACTTCTGAAAAGTACTTTCTTCTGAGGTCTTTTATTCTGCGCTTCCTTATTTTGTTTTACTTTCAGTTTTGAGAGCTGTAATGTGTGTACAGTATTCAAATACCAAGTGAACATGTGCCATGTTCTTAGAAATTTATTATTTGTAATATTTGTTTTGTATTAAATGTAATATTTGTTGATGTTATATATACGTTGATGCTATATATATATATAAGGTTTGATTTTGACTCTTAAATGTCAGGTGGTACAAATCAAGCAATGTTAAACATTGTTTTATTGACAAAAACAAAGACACAAACATTTGCAATTTGTAAAAATATGTTTTTTTTTTAAATCAGTTATGATTATGTTTAAAAATGATCTGTGAATATCATTGGAAACAAAACTGTAATAAACAAAAATAATTATAGCAATTAAGGATTCTTCTTGCTAAACTGCAATATCTATCTTTTCTACATTGGGATCATCTAAAAATGGTCAACCTGACTTTTTGACTTTGTCTCATAAATATATATATATTTTTTTATTTCCAATAATAATAATACTAATATATTTATTTCCAAAAGTTGAAAACATGTTTATCATAGAAGATGTGTATTCAAGTCATTCCATGTATACATTTCCTTTCTAATGTATTTTTGTATGAACAGATTGCACTCCATTGATCCATATAAATGTACCTTAGCATTGACATCATGATACCATGGTACCTGCCACAAAGTATATATATGTTTATAGTATATTTAAGTATATTTAATTCAATAACTTTTTAATATTAAGGCATGGAAACCACAATTTAAAAATGTAAAATTGTGGTTTCCAGGCCTTAATTTTAAAAAGTAATCTAATTAAATGTATGTTTTTGTATATTTGTGTGCGTACTTTGTAGATTGTGGCTGGCTGCTTTTGCACTGCAGTTTTCTCAGGGGTTTAATAACGCATTCATTTAGCAGCCCATCCATTCTGCTGCTCTATGAGCCTTGCTTTGCCTGGTCAATCTTTCATTCAAGGCAGCACTGCTTCTCTTGAAATATGATGCATTTACTCAATGCACCAAAGCATGCCAGCAATGCAGCTTTGTCAATGCTGTGATCTGCCACCCACATGACAAACCTGTACACCAGTATGGAAAGCATGTTAATATACCCAATCAAACATTTCTGCAACAGAAAGCTTTTACAGTTGGGTTTTTGTTTCTTAAACTGCTTGTTCACAATTGAGATGAATGCACATGCAGCACGTGTTCATCTGTGAAAACTGTAGAACTTCCTGTTACCATAGATTGCATCATGACCTCTTTGGATGCCTGCCCTTCACAACAAGTGTGAACCTGTATAGGCCTTTAAATACACTCACCCTCACCCCTCCTCTATGTGTGCATGTTGCCTATAAAGTACATCTAAATTTAGTGACCGCATGTTTTTTGACTCCTGTCGCCCCATGAGGAGATGTGCTGATGTCACAGTCTGTTAGTTAAGTTGTTTGACCATGTTCTGAAATAATGCTGACTACAACTCCGTTGTTTATAACCTTCTTAATGCTTTTTATTCATTTAACAGATAAGTTAGTAGATTTTCAACCAGCTTTGTTACAGTGTGTATTTCTCCGTGTTAACTGTATTGGTTGACCGATATGGATTTTGTGATGGCTGATATAAAGCTGATATTTATGATATCACACTGTTTAATTGAAATAACATGCATACCGATTGCTGCAATGAAATTTTACATATTTAATACATTGACTAAAAAGGAAGTAAAAAACACTAACTAACAGTGCACTCAGTAATCTAGTAAGTTTTTGCGCACTGGGAATCATTTTCTTAAATGAAGATCAGGTAATGCTAATTTTACATACTGAACATATTGACATATGACTTGGAAACAAACTGGATATAGCACAGCATAGTTTGAAATCAAGGATTTAAAGATTACACTCGCATCTGCGTTCACATGCTGGCTTTCTTAGCACTGTCAAAATAAAAGCTACTTCTGATAGTTATTGTGCAAAACTTCTCAACCGATGTTGATAATTTAAAAATGACAAATATCGGCATATCGGTCTACCTCTAGTTACCTGCACCATGAATCCACTGGATAATGCAAAACGCATCATTTTGCATCATCTGGAAATCTTTGGACAGCTTCAGGGCATTTCTTTCGGTTTTGTCTAATCATGTCGCAGGAATTAAAACACAATTTTGTGTTTCTAGTGCATAGACAGGCAAGCTTTATTAAAAGCCTATCTTGCCAGCACTGAACTCCCTCTTTGATTGTTCCAACTAACCCAAAGTAGACACATTGGCTGAACCAGAGGCATTAGTTTGCGGTGAAACGACCTTTTTGTCCAATCAGTGAAAGACTAGTGTAGGGAGCCTATGTTTTGTTACCGCTATGTGGTGCAGAAATGGCACCCTTCACCCTTTGGGTGTTGGAATATACTTATTTAGGGAGGTGGTATTGGAAACTGTTTGTTGTAGTAATAATGAGCAAGTCAAGGCATGTTAGGATAGGAAAGAGTGACTAATTTCCTGTGTGAAACTTGTTTAATCTATCTCTGCTGATATGCAGAGCTCCTTGACTGTTGGCTTGCCGTTGGAAGTCTGCAGTTGTTGCGACACGTAGAAACAGTAGAGACTCTGTATGCTGCAGATGACGGTTTAACGGCTGCATCTGTCGTTGCAATGTTGAGTGGACATTTATCTTTTTTTTAATTTCGGTTTCTGTTTCTCTGCTAAAAGTTTATATTGGGAACGAGATGACCTTAAAGCTAGTATGCAGACTAAAAGCCACAAAACTCCAGTTTCATGGTTTTCAAAACCGTATCAGTCTCTTCTCACTACACTCTCAGTGCAAAGGGTGCATGTTTTGTATTTTTCTCTAGTCCTTTGAACACACAGCCTCAGGTAAGAGTGCGATTCATGTTTTCCATTAGCTGTTATGGGCCAGAGGTCATGAAAGTAGATCAACAGGAGATGTTATGAGCAATTAGATACCCTGTGGAAGATGTAAAATGATGCTTCCTCCTCGAGTTTTCTGGATTTTCCTTTACATATTTGTAAATTATATGTACTGATAAGTACAGTATATTTCACAGTATTGTTTTTTTTTTAGTGTGTCTGTGTGTATATATGTGCATATGCATGTATGTAAAGTGTAATATATTTCTGTGATGCAGAGCTTAATTTTCAGCATCATTACTCCAGTCTTCAGGGTCACATGACCCTTCAGAAATGATTCTAATATGCTGATTTGGTGCTCAAGAAACCTTTAGTATTATCGTCAAGATGTCAACATTGAAAACAGTTGTGCTGCACAAAATTTGAGGAAACTGTGATGCACTACTATTTAAAAGTTTGGATTAAGCAAGATTCTAAATAAATAAAATAAATATAATACTTTTGTTCATCAAGGATGCATTAAATTGATCAAATGTGACAGTAAAGACAGTAACATTCATTCACAGATTTGCGCCACTGTCTTCACACACACAGACGAAACTTACTAGAGAAGTGTGAAGTGTGACATAATATAGGGGAGTGCGATGCACAAAGTAACGGGGTGTTAGTTGTATATATATTTATTAACAAAATATTTTAGTAATATTTTAGATTCCGCACCAAATTCAGGGGATCCCTTCAGCTCGAGGAGCCCTCTCGAACGCCACCCTCCGCGCGTCGGTAGCCCCCCGGTATCGCTAGATCGGTCGGCGCCGGACCGCAAATTTAACTAGCCGTAACTCCCGAACCCTGGGGGCTATCCACGCGGGGGTGGTCTCATTCGAAAGAGGGCCTCGAGACGTACACTCAATTCGTGTTCGAGAGGGCTCCTTGAGCTGAAGGGATCCCCCCCAATTTGGTGCGGAATCGCCACGCCGTTACGGAGATATGGCCGTTCAAAGTTTCAATGATTTTCCATAGACTTAAGCTTTAAAGTGTTTCATCCAGGTCTGCAGTAGCAAAAAATGGAGCGCGCTCTGCTGGACAAACTAAGTAATTACACGATTTCAAGGATTTTATCTGCATTATATGTTCTGTAAAAAAAACATTTCATATCTGCGGCATATTCGCCGATACCGATATATCGGCGACAGGCTCATATCGGCCGATAATATTGGCAAAACGATATATCGGTCGGGCTCTAATATATAGAATGGGATCTATGTCTTTTGCTCTTTGTGCTTATTCACTCCTGCTAGACCCAGTTGAAATGCTATGATTATTTTGGCCCAAGCTTTATCATTATGCATTACTGCTTCCTAACTATGTGCTTCAAAGGGGACAGACTTGTTTTTCTGGTGCACAGTGACAGCAACAGACTGCAAGAGGAACTGTATGAGGAGAAGGCTGACATTTAGATCAAGCTCAATATGATCTGTACATACAGTACTATTATCAAGTATTGCATATTGTGTCGTTTATGACAACCGAAGCCCACTAGAACAGTTGTGCAACCTGCATGTGTAACATATTGAGATTTTGGACAGTGTTTTGGAATGGTCAACAAATTCTTGTATCATGCCTGGCAGCATTAATATCAACCAATGATGCTTTAAATAAAGCCAGAGAGGACTGATATTGTGACCGTTCCCATAGCCTGTATTTTATGAGCTTCAGATAGAGACGTGGGATTTGCATCACCTCTTTTGTTTCTCATTGCTAACACAGTAATGGCAGAGGGCATGTCTGTTAAACATTTACCTTACTTTTCTACTGAAACTGTGCTTTCTGTTTCACAGCTTTCCATTGTGATTTCAGGTCCTAGATGTTCATGTCTTACTGTAAAGCGTCTTCAAGTGTTTTTTTTCTGTTGCTCTTTCTCTTGCAGTGGGGTCGGGTGGCCATGGACCCCTTCAGCCAGCTGATCCTGCTCATCTCTGTGGTGAGTTTTTGCACCTTCCAGTGGCTCTTTCACAGCGTGAGCCCATGGGCGTCATCCAGAATCAGCCCTGGCTTCCTCAAACTCACCCACAAACAGAAGATCGAGTGGAACTCAAGGTACAGAAACATGTTTTGTGTCGTCTCTTTGGGCGCTGGGACTAGTTCTGCATTTCTCTTTAGATGTATTACCATCTCATGTTCAGTGTTTCTTAAGTACAAAGGAGTAATTGTAAGCTGTATGCGTTTGATTGAACGAGTCATTTGTTTAGGAATTGGATTACACCGATTCATTAAAAGATCTGACTCAATTCATTTGATAATCACATAGACATAGCTAATTGCATTGTATGTGTTTGATTTGCTAAAAAGATCCGGCTCAAAAGACTAATTTGTTCAGGAATCATTTGGAAAACTGGTTGCACTGTATGGTTTTGATTCACTAAGAAGAACTGGCTCCAAGAGTCATTTGTTTAGGAATCGGACTACACCGGTTGCACTGTGTGGTTCTGATTTATTAAAAAGAACTTACTCAAAAGACTAATTCATTTGGGAATCATTTAGACAACTGGTTGCACTGTTTCTATTTGATTTACTAAAAAGATCCAGCTCAAAAGAATAATTTGTTCAGGAATCGTTTGGAAAACTGGTTGCACTGTATGGTTTTGATTCACTAAAAAGAACTGGCTCCAAGAGTCATTTGTTTAGGAATCGGACTACACCGGTTGCACTGTGTGGTTCTGATTTATTAAAAAGAACTTACTCAAAAGACTAATTCATTTGGGAATCATGTAGACCAGTGGTTCCCAACCCTGGTCCTTGAGGCACACCAACACTGCACGTTTTGTATGTCTCCTTAATCAAACACACCTGATTCAGGTCATCGGCTCATTAGTAGAGACTCCAAGACCTGAAATTGGTGCGTCAGAGAAAGGAGACATGCAAAATGTGCAGTGTTGGGGTGCCTCCAGGACCAGGGTTGGGAACCACTGATTTAGACAACTGGTTGCACTGTTTCTATTTGATTTACTAAAAAGATTGGCTCAAAAGAATCATTTGGAAAACTGGTTGCACTGTTTCTATTTGATTTACTAAAAAGATTGGCTCAAAAGAATCATTTGGAAAACTGGTTGCACTGTTTCTATTTGATTTACTAAAAAGATTGGCTCAAAAGAATCATTTGGAAAACTGGTTGCACTGTATGGTTTTGATTCACTAAAAAGAACTGGTTCAAAGAGTAATTTGTTTAGGAATCGGACTACACCGGTTGCACTGTGTGGTTCTGATTTATTAAAAAGAATTCACTCAAAAGACTAATTCATTTGGGAGTCATTTAGTCGTAACTGGTTGCACTGTTTCTCTTTGATTTACTAAAAGATCGGCTCAAAAGAATCATTTGGAAAACTGGTTGCACTGTATGGTTTTGATTCACTAAAAAGAACTGGCTCCAAGAGTAATTTGTTTAGGAATCAGATTACACTGGTTGTACCATGTGGTTTTGATACGTTGAGAAGAACTGGGTCAAAAGACTCATACAGTGCAAACAGGTATGTCTAAATGATTCCTTAACAAATGCTTTTGATTCACTGGGAAGAACAAGAACTGGGAATGTCTTATCAGAAGACTTTGCTGTGGAGAGCAGGTTGTAAGCTGTCGCTCAATCACTAACGTCTGTGTATGCATAAAGAAACTGGTGAAGATGGCAGCGATAATGCTCATTTCAGTGGGCTGTTAAGAGAACAGCCAGCTGGAGGAGATCTGTAGATGTAGGACACACAGTGTCATCAGTCAATCGCTCTATTTCCATTGTTTCAACTTGACGTTGTTTTATGGGAGAAGCAAACTACTGTTAACACTGCTGTCATGTGTGATAAAACCGCTTTTTATGTCTCTTCAGGACCGTGTCCACGCTCCATGCCCTGTTAGTTGGCCTTTTCTGCCTCTACATCCTGTTCTTCGATGAGGCCGTCAATCAGGACCCCGTATGGTGAGCGCTCTGCTGTTAAACCGACCGGTCACACTGCATGCAGGGCATGCTGGGAAAGCGCTGCTCTTTACAGATGAGCAGGACGCTTTCAGTTACTGTTTTAAGGTGATCTTGTAAATCTCAGTGCCTTGTCCTCATCTTTACCACAACAGGGGAGATCCTACTCTGGTGAAGATAAACGTGAGCATTACTACAGGCTACCTCATATCTGGTGAGAGCTTACTGCAGATATCTGATAGTGTTTGGAGTGCTGCATTATGCATTAAATGCAAGATATTTTGGGGGTTTATTGTAATACTGAGAGTTAGATTTGAAAATTCAAGTACATTTTTTTGTACTAATGCTCCTGATTGCATTTTTGCGGGTTTCTAGTAGATTGACTTATTTAAATAGCTGGTTATCCCATTTTCAACAAAGAAACGCCTCTCTAGAAACATTTCACCATCTCTGTGACCATTTTAACCTGGTTGCAGATGATTCTGTAAAATGTCTTATAATATTATGTTTTTGAAGGATGATGACATTTGTGACCCTGGACCACAAAACCAGTCTTAAGTGTCAATTTTTCTAAATTGAGATTTATACATAATCTGAAAGCTGAATAAATAAGCTTTGTTAGGATCGGACAATATTTGGTCGAGATACAACTATTTGAAAATCTGGAATCTGAGGGTGCAAAAAAATCTAAATATTGAGAAAATCGCCTTTAAACTTATCCAAATGAAGTCCTTAGCAATCCATATTACTAATCAAAAATTAAGATTTTATATATCTACGGTAGGACATTTACAAAATATCTTCATGGAACATGATCGTTACTTAATATCCTAATGATTTTTGGCATAAAAGAAAAATCTATAATTTTGACCCATACAATGTATTCTTGGCTATTGCTACAAATATACCCCAGCGACTTGAGACTGCTTTTGTGGTCCAGGGTCATGTTTCAATTTGTTTTTCAGATTTTACTTTCATTATTTTATTTTTTTTGCACTTGATTATTGAGCTTTGTTTCGATTAGTTTTTTTTCTATTTTGAGTTGTAATTTTTTCTCTTAACTTGTTACAAATTTTTTGACCAATATAATGCAATTATGTACTTAATGTACATAAGTTGAAATTGGACTAATTTATCATTAACTGATGGAGAAACACGCTTTACAGTAAAGTTTAATTTGTTAACATTAGTTAACTACATTAATATGAATTAACAATGAACAGTGATTCAGAATGTCCACGTTAATTATTAATACATTTTTGGTAACACTTTACAATAAGGTTCCATTAGTTAATGTATTAACTAACATGAACAAGCCATGAACAATACATTTATTACAGTATTTATTAATCTTTCTTAATGTTAGTTAATGAAAATACAGTTGTTAGTTCATGTTAATTCGCAGTGCATTAACTAATGTTAACAAGCACAACTTTTGATTATAATAATGCATCAGTTAATGTTGAAATTAACGTTAACTAAGATGAATAAATGCTGTAGAAGTGTTGTTCATGCTTACTTCAGGTTAACTAAAGTGGTTAACTAAAACCTTAGTGTAAAGTGTTATCACATTTTTCAACCAATTCATCAAACAACTAACAAATGTATTTTTATTAACCAACATTAACAAAGATTAATAAAATGCGGTAAACATATATTTATCATTGTTATTAATGTTTGTTAATCCATTACCTTATATTAACAAATAAGACCAAATTGTTTATTAAAACCAGTTTAAATTAGACCTTTATTATAATGTATCTTTTTTTTTTTAGTTTTAGTTTTTCAAATTATATTTATTTCAGTTTATGAAAATGTTTTTTTGTGGTATGCCTTTTTATTTTTATGGTAGTTATCTTTGGTGACTTGCATATACATTGATAGTTCATGTAATATTTGTGTTAATTAAAAAAAAAAAAAAAAAACTCTAAAAAATAAACCAAAATAACATAGCCTGACAGCCATCAAAGGTATACAGTGTTGGCAGAGGCTTTATGGAATCCTCTGAAACAAGGTTAAGATGACCACAGAGAAACATGTTTGTTCTGCAAATGTCCATAGATCAGTGTTTCCTTGTGAAATGTGGGTATATTACAGGTTGGCCATATTATTATTAGTTCTATTAATTTATTAATCACTGTTATGGCAGTGTTTTCTAATTCTTATTCCTTAAAGTAGTTCTGACTCTTCTTGCCTTTTCTGTGTTTTTCAGATCTGCTGCTTATATTTTACTATTGGAGAGCAATTGGAGACAAGTTTTTTGTAATCCACCACCTGGCAGCATTGTATGCTTACTACTATGTACTGGTGAGTTCCCTGTTGTCCCGTAACAGAACATGCAGGCAAGATGGGAAAGGGACAACCAAGAGTGAGCAGTGGTAGTGTCAGTTATGCAGCTGGTGCTGAAAGCTCTGTGTTCCCTGGCTGACGCTCCACGACACGAGAGTGATCGCTAAACCATAAACAGAGGAACAGGATGATCCGAAGGATTTGTCCCTGTTAGTACATGACTTTCTGAAATACTTCTGATCGGTCATTTTTGTGGCATTGCAGGCAAATTGCAGCATTTTGTGGGCAAATGTTTTGGGATAATAACATGGATAATTGCCAGTTTCATGTTTCTCATTTCAATCTGTGGTCTTTTTTTCCGCACAATAATTTAAACTTATATCAGTATTTCATGCCTATTCATTTATTTATTTTTATTGCATTTATGTGTTTGTGTATGTATTTATTTATGCATTCATTCATTGATGCATTTATTTATTCATGCAAATAGCTGTGTAATAAGTAGGATAATGAACTGTCAGCTGGTTTTTATGACAACATAAACCCCATCATGGTGAAAAAAGATTTCTCTGTTGGAGTTTATTTACCAGTAATGACAGACTGACTGTACATTATCTTAAATAAATGTCCAGGAAATACTGTAGAAAGAACTGCACCCTGTCATTCTGGTCTAGTGACCTTCTTTGGCTATTTTTAGCAAAATTTGACGCCATATATGACCTGTGACCTTCTCTGAATTTAAACTTTTTAAGGTTCAGATTTAGAACACAATGTCCTTGGTTCTTGATCCTGCTGTATGCAAAGGCCTCGTTTGTAGAATTTCTTTAAAATTTAATATTAAGGATAAATCATGTGGTTGACTAATCATCCAGCAACTAACTTGTTGATAACCTACGTGAGGTTGAATAATTAATCTAATTCTGAATTATATTAACATTAAATAACATGTTTTTGCTTTATTCATTCATTCATTCATTCATGATTTATTAGTTTGCACAGTACAGCGGTCTTGGAAAATTTTCATTTAATTTCATAAATGCATTTAGACTGATGAAAGCTTTTATGCTTCTTGAGATTGAGGCGTTCTGTTGTGCTCTGTCTAGTTAAGAACACAATAACACCTCTTATTTAAACGGCTTCCAAGAAACTTGTCTGTTTTGTGCATCCCTATATAGAGTATTCTTTGTTTTTTGTTAAAAATGGTTTCCAAATGGTTGCAGTTACCAGCCCAGATCTTTTGCCACTAGACTACAGCACTGAGGCCACTACTGTTCACTCTTGGTTCGGTTGTACGGTTACCCTCTAGGTCACCAAGTTCTGTAGCTGACTATGGTTATGATGATGATGGTATTTTTTGCATGGAATGCTCATTGACGGTTATGCAGAAGTCCATTCTCTCCAACTCTACCTCACTGCCCCCCCCCCAGCAACTCCATCGGTCAGTTCTGGCCGGCTTTCGGCCCAAACTGCACCAGATTGGATTGTGTGCATGTGTTGATGCTCGCTGTTCCTGTGGTGCTGTTGGAGGGTTTCCTGTGTGCATGCTCTGCTACCTTCCCCTGCTTTGAGCCGATCTTCCTCCTGAAGCCTCTCTTCTAAAACCTAACAACCACGTCTCAACTGCAGGATGGGTAACAGCGAGAAAGCACTTGTTTGTTGGGCTGTGTCGAGATGCTCCACACTCACAATATGAGAAGGTTTTTGCTGAATAACAGGCTGATCTGGTCCTCAGCCCTAAACATTTAAAATAGCATCTGTTGATGCTCAGTTGTTTGGCATGAGTCATTCTGTAAAACGGGTGCCTAAAACAATTAAAGGTGATATTTAAAGTCACGGTCTATAATGTTTTAACAATTTTATATATGTTGTTAATAGGCATGTTTTTTATTTAGTACTGACCCGAGTAAGTTATTTCACATAAAAGACGTCTAAATATAGTCCACAAGAGAAAATAATAGTTGAATTTATAAAAATTACCTTTTGGTTTTCCAGCTTCTTTTGCATATTTGAACCCTTTCCAACAATGACTGTATGATTTTGAGATCCATCTTTTCACACTTGAAAGGTTCAAAAAGTCACTGAAGCTCCAGAAGGAAAAACGATGCATTAAGAGCCTGGCGTGTGTGTGTGTGTGTGTGTGTGTGTGTGTGTGTGTGTGTGTGTATATATATTATATATTTATATAGATTATATTTAATTATTTACATTTTTAATTTTATATACCTTGTAATAACTACATACTGTATGCTACTGAATGAAATCTTTTAATTAAATTCTTATTAACTTTAGTTAACTTATTAAAATCTGTTAATTGTTAAAGTCATTAATAGGTAATCCTCACAGAATGACCTGACATGGTAACATGTTTTCTGGGTCATGCTTGCACACTATGTGTTTACTAAATGCATGAATGGTAAAAAAAAAAAAAAAAGTGTGATCAAAAATACTGTATTCGATTTTTATTTATTTTTTACACAGTTTTGTGCATACAAATACATACAACAGAAACTCAAAGGGCACCTGTTATGTAGAAAGACCATGACAAATGATTTTTGATGGTCTAATTAATTGTCTTGGCTTGTTCATTTAAAAAAAAAAAAAAGCCACCACAAATAAATAAATAAAAATCCTAAAAATGCATCTGGGGCAGCGACTTTTCATATGAATGGCTTTATTGTTGCTTACATACCCTACAGTTACCTTGCACTGATTTAATGCAACTTTGAGGATCGCCTCAAACCTGAACGTGCATTTTGTTGTCAGGATGTAGACCATACTGTCACTGGTCACTTTTATGACTGCCATTTCAAGCCTTTTTCTAAATTATTATTACAAGATAATAGGTGTAATTTAACATGGAGCTGGAAGTCTTCTGTTGGGTCTCAGTGAGTAATTAAGTCTGTCGTTGGAAATGTCATTCGTTGTTATTGTTTCCTGTGTTTAGAAATGCTATTAGTGTTAAAACTGGAACTTTTAAGTGTCTTTTTGTTAATTATTGCCTTCTTCCCAGGCTAAATTATAATATCCGCCTTATTATTATCATAAGCATAATGTACCCCATCAGTCTCTTCAGTGCTTAATAATTGTGCTTCATCTTAAGAACAGAGCATTTCGCTAAATTTAGCACTGACATTTAACCTTTAATGTTCTATCAAACTGTTAGTCTATTTTTTTTTTTAGAAGTAGAATAAAATATAAATAATTTGTCAGTGTCGTTCGATTTGTTTCTCATAGTGCATGTCCAGCGAGTCTTAAATGGTGTTGCTGCTTCTGTGTCGTTCGTTCTTTTTGCATTTTTTCTCAACCTTTTTTTTCCAAGAGTCTGTCTGTCAGTCTGTCTCTGTCCCACCTAACATGACTTCTTGAATAACGCAGCCTCACTTCCTCTGACCAGCAAACCCCTTCATGCAAAAACTACCAGTGTCACTGTTAGACGGGGTTAGAGATGAGGGATATAGGCTTGGCTGATCTAGATGGACTCTCTCCTGTCTTGTCTGCTGTCCTGCTGTTATGGAACTCTGAGCAGTTACTGAAGCCCAGTTACAGTATGGACTTACCAGTACCTAGGGGCACCAGCATGCATCTGCTAGCCAACCTGATTATTATTTTTTATCCTTGATTTTATATGGTCCATTTTGCAGTAAGTATGCTAATGCATGTTTTAATTGCAGACCTCAAGGTAAGTGTGTTATCGAGATGCCAAATATTTATTTTCTTGCTAGAGGAATGATAATGCCAAAACTGGTTTGGAGAGGAACATTTCATTGGAATAGGTCCAAATAATCCTCTCTTTGCAAGGAAAGGCTATTAAAGGCTTCATTTTACAAAACTTGCATGGCTGACCATTGCTATACTAATACAGTGGGATCCAAAAGTATAAGACCACATTAAAAATCTGGGATTTTTAATTTTTTACCTAGAAATAAAGTATTAGCGTTTTGGAATATTTTTAAAATAACATTTAAATTATAAAAAAATGCTTAAAAGGGATAGTTTACCCAAAAATGAAATTTTTCATCATTTATTCACCCTCAAGTCGTTTCTTTTTTTCTGTTGAAAATAAAAAGATATTTTGAAGAATGTGGGTAACCAAACGGTTGACAGTAGCCATTGACTTCCAGAGTAATTTTTTTCCATACTATGGAACTCAATGGCTGCCGTCAACTGTTTGGTTACCAACATTGTTCAAAATATCATCTTTTGTGTTTGGAACCGCTTGAGGGTGAGTAAATGATGTTACAAAGTCATAATCAAATAAATATGACGTGAACAACTTTGTTCATATGGTTAGATTGCGTCCACTGAAGCACAATATGCTCTTTGGATCGTTCTCAAATCATGCTGAAAAACTTGATCATCAGACAAACTTGTGGAAATCATGCTGCTTGAGAGCTGCTGTCATTAAAGGGATATTTCACCCAAAAATGAAAATTCTGTCATTAATTACTCACCCTGATGTCGTTCCAAACCCATAAGACCTTCGTTCATCTTTGGAACACAAATTAAGATTTTCATCAGTGTGACATCAGTGGTTCATCCGTAATATTATGAAGCTACGAGAATACTTTTTGTGTGCAAATAAAACAAAAATAATGACTTTATTCAACAGTTTCTTCTCTTCCTTGTTGCGTTCATGGGAGTATCACTACGACGCATGCGTGTGCATTCCTCTGCTTGTAAACAAGGCGTAGTGCATCCGGGTTTTACGTCGGAACACCGGCTCCTGTGTCAGCAGCACAACATGCATGAGTCGTGGTACTCTCGTGAACGCGTGGTGAAGACTGACATGGAAGAGAAGAAATTGTTGAATAAAGTCCTTATTTTTGTTTTCTTTCCACACAAAAAGTTTTCTCGTAGCTTCAAAAAATGACGGTTGAACCACTGATGTCACATGGACTATTTTAATGATGCCCTTACTACCTTTCTGGGCCTTGAACGTGGCAGTTCTGTTGCTGTCTATGCAGGGTCAGAAAGCTTTTGATTTCACAAAAAATCTTAATTTGTGTTCCGAAGATGAACAAAGGTCTTACGGGTTTGGAACGACATGAGGGTGAGTAATTAATGACAGAATTTTCATTTTTTTGTTGAACTATCCCTTTAAAGCAAAAAATATAAGAAATTAAATACTAAAAAAATTCTGTTTTAATTGTTAAATTGAACTTTTCACTTTTCAATATTCATTTCAATAATTATAATTTGTAGTGAAGAATTCACAATAGAAAGTTTTTCACTAGTGGTATCAGACATTTGGACCACACTGTACACTCTTAAAAATAAAGGTGCTTCACGATGCCATAGAAGAACCTTTTTGTCTAAATGGTTCCATAAAGAACCTTTAACATCTGAAGAACCTTTAACATCTGAAGAACCTTTCTGTTTCACAAAAGGTTCTTTGTGGCGAAAGAAGGTTCTTCAGATTATAAAAACGCAAGAAAGAGATGGTTCTTTAAAGAACCTTTGACTGAATGGTTCTTTGTGGAACCAAAAATGGTTCTTCTATGGCATCGCTTGAAGAACCTTTTGAAGCACCTTTATTTTTAAGAGTGTATGTGCCTGACAATATGTGGCTTATTTGAAATGCAGGTTGTTATTACTGAAAGCACAGTTTTCAGTTTCTAATTTCATAATTAACGTTGTTAAAATCATCCTGTTATCCATTTATATTAATTAATTCAGGGATTTTTAAATGGCAAATATCAGTAATCTGAACAAAAAAATAGTTTGTTTTAGTTTGGAGCCAGATTATCTAATTTCTTCTGCTTTATTTATTTAGTACATAATTGAAAACATAAATTTTTTTCATGATTTATTGAACAATGCATACAGTTGACATAATATTAGCATAATCACTCTAATTATCATGCATTCTTCTACTCCATACATGGATGTAATTTTACTTACATTGTAAGTAAACAATTGTAAGTCCTCTACATATTCACTGAAAATAACAAGCTAAATATAGACAATAAAAACTGAAGGACATTATTTGATCTTAAAATAAATCCTATATTAATAGAATAACTATCCCTGCAACCCTTTTTCTATTTTCTAAATTTTTTTTGTTTACTTTGCTCTTTTGTTATGTCTGTCAGAGTGAAGTATCATAACTGGGCACTGAAGCAATTACTGTGGGTACCTGACAGCAGGAGATATTGAGACTGTTGGAGCTGATTCATAAGGCTGTGCATTTCTATAACTCGTGTCCGTGTCATAGTTTGTTTGTTCTTCACCTTGTGTTTCCAGGGTCAAGGAATGTTGCCTTATTTTGCTAACTTCCGTCTGCTTGCAGAGTTTTCCACACCGTGTGTAAACCAACGGTAGGCATTTGTCTGATTAAAGTACAAAATATTTACATCTTGAAACCATTAAAGACAACATGAGATATGAATTAACACTATTTACTTTGTGTTTCTAGTTTTATTGTGTGGATTCATTATTATGATTTAAAATGATTAGCTATAGTATCATGACTTAACATTGTATCCTAACTGTAACATAACATTTCCAGCATTATTATTATTATTTTTTATTTTTTTTACCATTATTTGTTGTTTGCATCTTCTTACCAAAAGTAAAAACACAATTAGACAAAAGCCAAGCCAATCTGTACCCATGTAATTTATTATTTAAAGTGGTGCCGGAGTTTTGACCAAAGAGATTTCATTGTGGGTTCACCCAAAAATAAAAATTTGCTGAAAATGTACTCACCTTCAGGTCATCCAAGATGTAGATGAGTTTGTTTCTTCATCGGAACAGATTTAGAGAAAGTTAGCATTCCATCGCTTGCTCACCAATGGATCCTCTGCAGTGAATGGGTGCCGTCAGAATGAGAGTCCAAACAGCTGATAAAAACATCACAATAAACCACACAACTTGAGTCCATCAATTAACGTCTTGTGAAGTGAAAAGCTGCATGTTTGAAAAACAAATCATCATTAAGGCATTTTAAGTGTAAACCGTTGCTTCTATCCAAAATATGAGTTAATAATAATGCTTTCTCCAGTGAAAAAGACTATTAAACATATTTATTTAGAACTGTTTTGGACTGCTTTCGCTGGCTTGATCTGTGCATATTTCTCTCCTAAATCAGACAGAACTTTTTCACTGGAGAAAGCAATGGTTTAAAGTTTATATATATATATAATTTTGTGTTTGTTTTGAAACTGTACACCAAAAAGTGCAAACGATGCACTGTTCGAGTTCACCGGCTGAACTGTCTTTTAACCATGTTTGGTTTTAATTTTAAACTGTGGGCAGGTAAACCACATTGTTTATTCATCAAAATTCAGTCCCTCACTCTCAATCACTGTACTGTGCAAAGGGGCCAAGTGGTCAGTCACCTGATGTTCACGTTTACTTCAAAGCCGCTTATATTGACTGTGAAAGATTCGTCCACACAACTGCACTGCACTAAACGAGGAAAATCGGCAATCTGGATCCGTGTACTCAACAAGAATCTCCTGGAAAATTAATATCACATACTTGAGATGTATTAGATATTTTAACGGATGCACAGATGAGATCCAACTGTGGGTTAAATAGGCAAAATATTTTATATATACAAGATATGAGCATTGATGCATTGTGATTGCATTAATACAGAACTGTTTTTAAGAATGAAACCGGTTTACACTCACTCCAGATTCTGTTCAGATTTCGCTCCGTTCCCATGAAACGGATGTCACGCTTTGTTCACACTGTACAGTTAATTGCATGCGGCGATGTTGTTCTCTGAATGTTTGCATTGTACATAGAAATGTTATTGAACATACGGTAATTATTTTAATTACGTTGGTGTACAGTGCATCCGATCAATACTGACCTTAAATGATCGATTATGAATGGTTTTAAAAGTAATTTCAAAAGAGTAGAGAAGAGTGTAGCTCGTGAATGTTCAAAGACTTCTCAACGTCGGATCATTTTCCTGCATCGTACCTAATTTATTGAACCAGTTTTGCGCTGGGACAGCATGATAATGTTTGTACGGCATATTTATTATTTTTTTAACGGAAGGATATACAAGTGGTCAATGTATCTGAGTAGATATATACAGCATATGAGAGAATCCACAATACAGTGATACTTTTATGAATTCATTTTAAAATTCGTTGTCAGTACGTTTGACGAATTTAGTGTAGATACTCATACTGTACATGTGCATTCAATGGCGGCACAGATGTGAGCGCATGAGTTTTGATTTAAAATGTATGAAAGACAGTTTAAGATGGCTTACAGCGATTTGCGTGGAAACTATTTTAAAGTGGTTCTGTTTTTAATGAACTAAGTACTTGGATTTTAAAATGTGTTATTCTGAGAGCCAGACATATGAAGGATTGTCTTTTACTGGCGTGAGATATACAGGAATCCATGTTGTGATTTCTTTCTTTCTTTCTTTCTTTCTTTCTTTTTTTGCCTTTGTATTCAATCACTCAATGCCTTTTTTGTTTTGTTAAATAAAACATATTTTATTTACTTTTCCTACTGTGTCATTTAGTGTAATTTTGTACCACATGGTTCATTGTATGGTCATTTAAAGGATGTATGACTATCACTTTAATTGTTGTATCTTTTTATTTCTCACCAATGTTACAACCAAAGGTCAAAAGTAAGAATGGCTGTTCTTAATCATGCATATTAAGTAAATGGTGGCACACACCAATTTTGTCCCACAGATGTCCCCTCCAAACCAGGTGCCCACCCCGGACCAGCCGTTCCCTCTGTCCGTGAAAAGAGAGGAGTCTAAAATCCCACGATCAGGCACAGGCCAGAACTGGGTTTATCCTTCTGAACAGATGTTCTGGAATGCCATGCTGCGGAAGGGGTGAGTTTACTTTTATGTCCCGATTCCTAAATCCATGTTTTACAACCAGACACGTGCCCTGTTATATTTTGGAGAGCTCTATGTGGACCAGATATGCCGTTTGGCTTAGCTTCAGGAAGCCTGTGAGTGCTGTAATTTGATTACCTAGATAGAAAAAAACAGCATATCATTCCCCAAGGCCAAGAAACTCCAACTCCACACGGCATACAAATAGATCTTAATTTGATGTTAGCATGTTGTTTTAATGTTTTAGAAAGACATATCTTATGCTCATCAAGGCTCAAAAATACAGTAAAAACAGTAATATTGTGAAATATTATTATAATTTAAAATATTTGTTTTCTATTTGAATGTATTTTCAAATGTAATTTATTCCTGTGATGCAAAACAGAATTTTCAGCATCCATTACTCCAGTCTTCAGTGTCACATGATCGTGAATTTAATGCATCCTTGCTGAATAAAAGTAAAATAAAAAATACTGACCCCAAACTTTTGAACGGTAGTGTGCAAATATAGCTGTAAGTGTATAACATAATCAATAAAAAAAGAGGAATATACAATAATATGCACATTTATTTTAGATGTAAATGTTTTCTTGTTTTTTCTTAAATTATTATTCATGTATTATTATATATAATTTACATTATTCTTGCTTTATCCGTGGGAGGTGCTACGTTATATTTTGGTCAAATTTGGCATTTTGGTAGGCAATCTTTTTGCCTACTGTTCGAGGTGTGCCTATATGATTCCTTAAAATGCTGTCTAGACAGACAGCACACTACGTTTGGAACGGAGCTATTGTTTTGATACTGTTCAGAAAAGACTGGCACGTTTTGCACATTTTGGAAGAAAATCAGTCTTTTTTTCTTTTTCTGAATTGCTATAAATAGCTAATTGCTGTTTGTTGTTTGCTAGGTGGTGCTGGAAGGATGACAGTCTTGCTCCAGAAGACATGACCAGTATAATCCAGATTCACAATAAATCTGACCTGTAACAAATTTAAATTTCAACAAGTAAATCAACAGTCTAAAAATACATGTGTCCCTTAGATTTGCTTGGCTGTTAATGCTTCACTTTGGTCACTTTCCAGTTTACTCCAGTAGGTGGTGCCCTTTCCTCAGAAAATTTAATTTCTTTCACTATTGTTCATAAGTAATAGTGACTAGTGATTTAGAGGAGGGTCATAAAAATTTTACCATCATGCTCAGGCACAAATCTGCTTGTACAGGGATAAAATGTAACCATTTTATGAAATAGTCATGGGATAGTTTCTGGAGTTTAGTTTTTTTGCATATATTATCTACAGTGGAATTGAATGAATCAACTAAAATATCCATAGACAGGTATACATACTCTAGTGTGATCAATGGCATGTACAGCTGTCCCATGAACAAAGAGACATTTGAACATATGAAAATTACATATATTCTGGAAGATATCATATGGAAGACAAATAGGATCACAAAATTCAATACATGTCGTTTGATAATTCATTATTTCTTCATATTGTATTGTATTGTATTGATTTGAATATGATGCACTGTAAACAATTTTAGTTGATTTATTTATTTACATCGATGTATCAGGAGTGTGTGAGGAGTCATTTTTATTAAGTCTATTTTTAAATATTATGGTGTCTAAAACTACCAGCCTTTAGTGTGTTGATGTTAGTGTATGTAAAACCCTTAATCTGGACCCTTTCGGCTAGAGATGCACCGATTGCAATTTTCTCATCTGATTCACGATTTGTTTGATGACTGTGATCTGCCGATTCTGATTTTCTTTCTAAGAACTATAACTGACAGCATATACAAACAAAAATCTACTTTTTTTTTTCAATGCAAATAAATTATTTACGTAATCTATTAAACATTACAATTCCCCTAATTCTTCTCTCACACAACTCAAAATAAAGTGCTCTCTGACTGGAAAGAGGTAGAAATAACCATAAACTGAAAATAAGTTGCTGTATAAAACAAAACAGATGTTATTTCACACTATGTTTATAAATGGTAATTTTTCCCTAACATTGTTGTGTCATCTTTCACATCAAATTCTTACATTGTTTCAATTAATTCAGAATAATAAGAAACTGGAAAGCTGTTACCATTCAAATGAAATCAGGATCAACAAACTCCATCTTTCCACTGCAGGAAACACAGACGCTGCATCTGACTTGGCATTAGATGTATTTACACAGACCGTTTAATGAAACTTATAGGTGCCATAAATGCATTTACACCGCAAAATTGAAGAAAATTTTAATGATTCATGTTTTAAATAATTTTTTTGAACATACAAATTAGAAATGTTGGGGAAAATGCAATGATACTTTTTCAAATATGAAACCAAACCACCAGTATATGGCTTTTATTTTAATGAGTGAGTCATTCATTCAACCGATTCGTTCAAACGGCTGATTCATTCAGAAACGAGGCAAGTTTTGAATGGGTTACTGAATCATTGACTCACTCGATTCGTTCAAAAACGGTCACTTAAGTCACTTAATTTTAACTTGTTTATTGAACTACTATTGAATAAAATCAGTGTCACGTTGCATCAAACATCTTGGTCGTATATTGTTGTTTACCTATATATTATAAATAGCCTTTTTTTTCTACCGCAGTATGCATCTATCAATTTCTGTGAGTTTATTGTTCTATGAGTTCTGTTGCGCTCATTTGTTTTGATTTCTGCAAGAGCCTTATGGAACAACATAAATACATTATCAGTCGCCGTTTACACTGAATGCAATAAAATCACAATCATTCTCGCGCGAAAATTTTTGGTGGCTAAGTTATTTTTGTTATTGACGTTTTAATCACGTAAAATTATCTCTCACTTGACATTTAAAAAATCCACTTGTCCCAGACAAGCGTTAATCGAGTCCCCCACGGTTTA